TTGCCTTGTTTTTAATATTTTCTTTGCCAGCTTTATATTAACCATATGTATATACAAAGATATATGTAGGTACATAAATATGTATGGTATTTGTTGGTATATAGTTTTTGTATCCATATACTCTATGCATATGTTTGTGCTCAACCCACTACTAGCTATGTATGTAGGTATATGTATATATCAGATAATTAAACCAAGTTGGTTTTATTTTGATTCATTTCTAACGGGACTCGAACTTCAAATATTATTTGAACTAGCTGTGAACTAGTGAACCGATTTGGACCACTTAGAAATTTGCCTCTGTACTAGTTTGGAACTTGTGAACCAATTTGAGGCATGTGGCTTTGTAATTAGTAGTATCAGGAGCTTTGTGTTACCTGATTCAGAGTCTTAAGAAATTCCCTGAAGAAAATTCTGAACTAATATGTTTTTTTTTTTGAGACAGTTTAAGTACCTTACCTTATACAAGTTTATCCAATTGATAATGGTACTAATATTAACTGTATCTACATATATGTGCATTTTTATGACCCATTTATCAGATTACAAAAATACAATTTTAATCAATTCAAAAGAAAATTGAATTGCATTACAAAAAGCATAAATTCAATTTGTGGATACAAATAAATTTATTGTTTCTCGATATTGAAATTCATAATTAAATAAAAAAGTAATCAAATGGAACCAAAATAACGCTTCGTATCGGAAATGCATTTATAAAAATATATACATTTGTACATAAATATAAATTATATAAACAAAAACACCTCCTTCATGAGGTGCCAGAAATAAAAACACGTATAAATTTAAAGAAAAACCATAAAAATAATAAAAAAACAAAAAACAAAAAATTGAAAGCAAATATATACATATATATGATTAATTTTAACAAAAGACAATTCAAAGATTAAAACAAAAGAACTTCAAGAATAGTCGCACATAAAATGTCTTCGTATATATGTATAGTTAAATATATATTGAAAAACAATAAAAACTGTGCAATGGCTTCAAAGTGATTGACTGGATAATACCCTATACACAACTTTAAATTCTAAAGATGAAAATAGAAATAAAAATAAATAATTAAAAAACAATTAAAAGCTGTCACAAATAATGTATGTCATACTAATATAGTGCAAATGTATTGGTATAATACATAGACGTTCAGATATGTAACTTAATATTGCAATTGGCAGAATTCGATTTTTCAAATTTCATTATTGAGTTGACATTCCTCTGGAGTAGCTCATAATCTTACCACTGCATACACCCCGACATCTGCTGCTTTTATATGTACAGGGAGTACAAAAACAGTATTCGACCGCAAAAGGTTCTCTGATTCATAACTACGAATCACTCTCGTTTATACCTTTATTTTATTTTCTCGCTTTTGATATAATTTTTATTTCATTTTCACTCAAATTCAACCAAATATAGATATATATAAGAATATGTACACATACATAGGTAATATATTTAATACACACACACACACACACGCACGCACACTCAAGATATCTGCCTAATATATATCGTTTTTTCTTCTTTCTATACTTTCAGATAGACCATCTTTAAGAGGCGCCCTCTGTCGGCTGATAGCAGTGGCGAATTGCTTGGGCTTGGAGTGAGGGGACGGTGGAGGTAGAGCGGCTCTGTGAGTGAGTGGGTGGGCGCAGAGGTCGGGCGGTGGGTGTGCGAGCAGAGTTGGCCGTTCGCAGCGTATGTTTTTTGCTGTTGTGCCGCAGTTTCATTTCTTTTGATTTTCTTTATTTCTTTTTGCTTCCATTCGATTTCTATTGTTTGGTTCGCTTCTATTCAACGGATATGCTCGTACATGCTTTTTATCTGTGAAGGCGCAGAGACTTTGATTTTAGCTTTTGCTCCACTACCATTCATTCTTTCGTTTCTTCTACTTCTGTCATTTTCTCCCTCTCTCTCTGTGTCTTTCTTTTTTGAGTTGCTTAGTTTTTGTTGTTTTTTTTTTTTACACGCTTTAATACCCTGTTCATGATAATTACAATTGCTTACATACACATATATTCTTTTTTTTTAAGCTTTAAACTAGGAACTAGTTCTATTGTATTAAACCGTATCCTGGTTAATAATTTGAGTTGTGAACCAAATATAAAACTATTTTAAATAGGTTTTTTCAAAATGTTAAGAAAACTGTAGCTCAAAATGTACGACGCTAGTAAAAAAAAACCCCAAGCTTTTAACTCCAGCAAGCTAGGGAACCTACTAGTCGCTCCTACTTTATTTCCAGCTTATGTTTGTTTTTTTCTTTTTTTTTTCCTTGAGTTATCAGCAAAAAAAATTTTGCCTAACATGTTTCTTTTTTTTATTATTGTTTTCTTTTTACTCGAGTTCACATAAATCGTATTGTATATAGATATACAAATATA